CTCAAAAATCATGTTATGCACATATTCAAACAATATATTTTATATGAAACTCAAACATGTTGCTTGTAACCAAACACGCCTCACTAAAATAATCTAGAAAAACAAACTAATTCAGTGTAAATATAATTTCTAAATGCGCCGGTGCAGAAACTGCAGTTAAACGCAAGAAAGATAAATGTAAACATCATTCCCATCCTCCGATGGACTGTAAACTTCATCAGCTGTTTCTGCAGAAAGATAAATTATATTACCTCAGTGAGTAATGAATAAAACAATAAAATAAAATTATACAGAAGAAGCTTTCGGAAGCGCCACAACATCATATTATGTGATACCTATAAATGCATGCCCTGAAGTTTCCGTAACTTCTATTAGCATCATAGGACAGCACACCGTAACTTCTATTAGCATCATAGTCTCGTGTTTGAATGCAGCAGTGTTAAAACTCTTGAGGGAGAGCTTTGCCGCCCTTGTGGTCCTACCCGGCTCGATTCCAGATTAGTCGATTCTCCTGTGGATCCGAAGACCGGAAGGTCCCTGTAAAAAAAAAAAAAAAAAAAAAAAAAGGTAAGATATATAACAAGCATTTTGATTAACTATGTGATGATACGTACTTAATTTGTTTGGTTTTACGAACCTTTGCCTCACAAATTAATGGAAGATTATTGTAGATGATCTTATTATTAACGATTAGAATTGTTTAGAAAAATTGTCTTTTATAGTATATTAATTAGCACAAGGACGTTGCAAGTGGAAAAAAACATACATACAATTCGATTAAGAACAAACGCGATATGAAACATCATTAGCACACAATAATTAAAATAGCACAAGGGATATATATTATATATAATAATGTACGCAAAACATCTTCATATCATTTATTCATAAAACACACACAACTTTATTCATTAATCATAACAAGATACAAATAAGTGCTTCTTCCAAAATACCATATAAAACCAGCACTACGTTACTCCAAAGTCATTCTTAACGACACAATGCTCTTTATCCAGCTTATTTATTTTACTACTCATACATTTAGTTTCCATAATATTTGCGCACATGACACATCGGTTCCGCGTTGCAACTCGGAAGGCCGGAGATTTTGATTGTGGCACAAAGACCCGGATTGTTCAGAAAACTTTTGTTAAACGCCGCGTTATCCAACTTGTCGGGAACTTTTCCGGTGAGAAGATTCGAAGAAAGGTTTAGGAAAGTGAGCGTCAAGTTGTTTCCTAGCTGAGGTGGGATCTCACCCGAAAGATGGTTATTCGACAAATCCAAACTGTGAAGTGCATGTAAAGAACCAAACTCATGCGAAATCGAACCCGATAATTTATTCCAGGAAAGATTCAAAGTCGTAAGCATTTTTAGGCTTGCCAATTCAGTCGGGATAGTGCCGGACAACTTGTTGTTGCCTGCCTTGAACACACCCAAATTCGTCCACGACGAAACAATAGTCGGAATTTCACCGCTAAACTCGTTGTCACTTACATCAAACTCAGTTAAATTCGGCAATATTTTACTTGGCAGCTCGCCCGAGAAGCTATTACTGAACAACCACGCGACGACTAGGGTTTGGCAATTTCCTAATGATTTCGTAATATCGCCCGTAAATTTGTTTCTAAAAGCATACACATGATCTAAAGCACCACCTCCGCACAAATTTTCCGGTAGTTTTCCGGTGAAATGATTGTCACAAACTTCGATGTCAATGAGCTTCGAGTGTTTTCCCATTTCATCGGGTAAAGCTCCACTTAGATTATTCGTGAAAACAACAAAATATTGAAGGCTGGGAAGTCGGCCTATGCTCGGTGGCACTTCACCAGATAGATTGTTCCTATAAAGATACAAAAGCTCCAACTTTTCGAGTTTCCCAATATCTTCCGGGATCGGACCACTCAAGTCATTCATGGATAGGTCGATTTCCACCAAACCCAACGACTCGATTACTTGAGGAATCCGACCCGATAGCCGGTTGGTAAACAAATAAATTACGCTCAAATTTCTCAACAAGAAAAGACTTTTTGGGATTGTACCTTCGATATCGTTCATAGGCAAGTCCAAAGAGGTGAGCCTCGACAAATTCCCGAAGCTCTCGGGAATCTCTCCGATGACGTTCGCCATCCTCATCCAAAAATACTTCAGGTTCGTGAGTCTTCCGAACTCCTGAGGTAAATTCGCCCGCTTGAAGGTGTTGTTAGAAAGATCGAAGTGCTCCAGGTTCGAAAGGTTCGAGATCTCCACCGGATAACTTGTGAACGAATTATCGCCCAAGATCAAGTCACGGAGCTCCGGCAGGTTTCCGATCTCCCGCGGGATGTCACCGGAAAAGTTGTTGTCGCTGAGGTCGATGTGCCGGAGAGATTTTAGCCGGTCGATTTTGGCCGGAATATCCCCCACGAAGTGGTTTTGTGTGAGGTCCAAATACTCGAGCATCGAGCACTTGAGTACCGCGGCCGGGAATTTTCCCCTGAGATTATTGTTACTGAAATCGAGATGGTTTAGGTTGTGGAGGTGGCCGATGGAGTCCGACACGGTGCCGGTGATGTAGTAGTTGCTGATGTTGATTCCGGTGACGGAGCCGGCGCAGGAGCAGTTGATTTCCGGCCAGTCACAGGGAGATGACATGGTGTTCCAGTGTTGGATGGTTGTGGTGTTGTGCCATGTATTTTTCATGTCTAGCAAGGCGGCTCTTTCGGCAAGAAGGTATTTTGAATTTACGAAAAAGGACATAGATGAGAGAAGAAAGACGAGGAAGGGCAGCAGGGTAATCGAGTGGAAGAAGGGTAGTTTCGTCATAATATGGACGGGGTAGTTTGTTTGATGATTTAGTTATTAATCGATTTTTTTTTTAACCTTGTTTTTTGTTCTAAAGAGTGATTAAGTTTTGCTTAAGCTTTGATGAACTCTTAAGATGTTTATGAGGAGTTTATAGGCTTAGGATGAAATTAGGTGTTTCATTTTTTTTATTTTTTATTTTTTTTGTTCATTACAAAAAAATAAATATAGTTTATAAAAGTTGAAATGTGAAAAAATATAGTTTATAAAAGTTGAAATAGTGGTTAAGAACGTGAGTTGTATTTCAACAGCTAGTGGCAACTTTCATTCTCCCATCATTAGCAAAATATTTTGTTCGAGCTCGTTTGTTATAGTTCTAGTTCGTTGTATCCAAATAATGTAAGAAACAAACTTTCTCAATTAACTTGCAAAAGTTACAAGTTAATTGAGAATTTTGTGATAGAAAATTTATATAAAAGGAGCATAAAATTATGAATTTTAGTATTAGAACATTAAAATCAAGAGGCAAAGTTCACCAAAATCGGGTGGAATGCAATACAAAAGTTCCATGGTGTTAAAATGGTCAACCAAACCAAGAGCTAATCCTCGGTTTTCTTGTCATGACTCCAGATTCTCTTCATAAAAACATATAATTGGTTTAAACATGCAATGCAATTTTGTACAATACGCCCGAATTAATTATCTACAGTTAATCATTTTTTTTTCGGAACGATAGAAATTTTATATAAAAACGCACAAAAGCGCAAAGATAGAGCCACGAGCTGAATATAAACAGCCAACAGCTGAATACAAGCAGCCAACAGCAGAATAAACTGAGAGGACAAGATCAAATCCCGCCTAGAACCGACCCCAACAGGGTAATACTCTGGACACACAAACAAAACACTACGACTCTAATTAGATAGAATATCAACCTCTGTCTAATCCAATCATATCTTGTTCTGCCAAGTTATCGAGTAACTTTCAAAAAGTTGTTAATGAATGGCACGAATATTATGTGTCTATTTTGTTTTCCGAAATAAAACTTTTTATGTA